GGAGGACTACAGAGATTTTTTTTAACTTTTTTTTTTTTTTTTTTTTTTGGTCTCTTTTCGGTAAAATGATCCTATTGATTTTTTTTTTTAATGGAAAAGGCAGGGTAGCATCCAAAATTTAACCACATCTGGTCTACTAAACATTTTTTTCCTAAATGATTGTCTTTTTGACTGAAGAACCTAATAAACTGTGTCATCTTGAATCAATGAAACTTACAGAGAATGAGATCCATTTGCAGTATCTTACAGGTTCCTTGGAGCCCTGGTGGCGCAGTGGTTAAGTGCTTCGCAGCTAACCAAAAGGTCGGCAGTTAGAACCCACCAGCCATTCCATGGGAGAAAGATTTGGCAGTCTGCTTCCCTAAAGATTATAGCCTTGGAAACCCTCTGAGGCAATTCTGTTCTGTCCCATAGGGTTGCTATGAGTCGGAATCGACTCGAGGGCAATGGGTTTTACAGGTCCCCTAACATTCTACTCCTGGGGCTCGTATGTGGAATGGCTTTATTATTTATATATATATAATATTTGTCATGTCAACCATTTTTGTGTATACAATTCAATAACTTTAATTACATTCCCCAGAATGGCTTTATTATAGATGAGGTTACTGTTTGACTATGTCATTTCACTTTTCAGTAGCTAATTCCTTTTGGATGGTACTTGGAATGAACACAGCACGTATCTAAGAGTACCTGAATTCACTGCCCTTGTTCTAGGCTCTTTTGCTGGTCAGTAGCCTCCAACCTTGCCTTCTCTAAGTCCTCACCCACCTCCCTCCCCTGACATCTCTTCTCTTTCTACACTGTTTCTTTAAGTGATACCATCCACACACTCAAGAGCTCCAGCCAACCACTGTTGTCATTGAGTCAGTTCTGACTCTCGGTGACCCCATGTGTGTCAGAGAAGAACTGTGTTCCATAGGGTCTCCAGTGGCTGATTTTTCAGAAGTAGATCACCAGGCCCTTCCTCCAAGGTGTCTCTGGGTAGACTCAAACCTCCAGTCTTCTGATTAGCAGCTGAATGTGTTAACCATTAACACTACCCAGGGACTCCAGAATGAACATACTTGGTAATAAATTCTTCTCCAAAGCAAATGGAGTGTGGTCGACATGTTATTAAACAGTTCCATTGTATTTCATGCTTTAAGATATATCTTTCCTTTGTAGCAGCTCACTATATCATTGGACATGAGCCTTTACACTTAATTCTTCTTTTAGGTACTGGGTTTCAAAGTAATCTTTTGATTGTAATTTGTAATCATGTTGATAGGCCTTCTATAATTCCAAGACCAGGTACCAGTATTTAGAGTTGCTTTACCCCGCAGTCCTCACGAAGATGTTCTGTGACAGCACAGTGTGGTTGTTGATGTCGGCACTCTCGAAGATTCTTTTTTGTGTTTGAACAGGCATGCCAGAATCACTCTTGTACTGCTCCTTGCATGATCCGGTCAGCCCCTGCCCAGCTGGTTACGTAACAAACAAGGTGTGTTCTCAGAACGGCCTCCAAGGCTGCAGCTCTGCCCCAGGAAGTCAGCCTGTTGTACCCCTCAAATGCCAGGATCCCACTGCTGAGGAGGCTAGCCTGTCCCTGACCCCTCTATGCTTTTTCTTTATTTCCGTGAATATTGTGGGATGGAGTGGTTTCTAGGCATTGGAGTAGGGTTGCCTCAGGATGGGGTGAAGGTAAGGAATGGATCCTCAGCTTTTTCATTGTAGCAAAACACTGGGGTGGGGGAGGATGGTTGAGTACATGCCAAAAAAAGACATCGCTGTGGTGGGAGAAAATGGTAGTTTTTTGATACCATGCTTTCTGTGCAGATTTAATAGCCTCAGGAGGAGTGGGGAAGTTACTGATGGGCATTACCACCCATATAACTATATATAGTAGAACCTCAGTGTAATGCTGTTGGCTTTTACAACAGCTTTTGAAAAAGCTGGGTCCACAGCCAGAGGTTTTAGCTGACAATGAACGGTATCAAAACGACTTCATTGAAAGTTTTCACCATTGTCACAGTCCCTGAGGACAGCATTGTGGCAGGGCTGCAGTATGTACTGCCACTTTGCTAACGCATTCGCTTTCCTCGCGCTTGTGTTACTGACATCAGTGATACCTGTTAACCTACCTACGATAACTTTTAAATTATTGTGTACTAAATTTACTTCTTTTTATTTTATAATCTGAATTCCAAAGAAAATACTTTAACCTCAATTATCTGCCCTGTTTGTAAGGGAGAGAGGATTCGTTTAAGCGGTGGTTTTAAGCTTTAGGATGCTAGAAAGGCTGCATGTAGCCTCTCTGTCTGTGTCCTTGTTGAGCTCTTCTATGAAGAGGAATACTGTGGGGAAAAGAAGGTGTCTTATACAGAGATTCTTGTGTACCATGGGATTTATGTCTTTGCACGTAATTCTGTATCTAACTCATTGTAACAGACATTTATTAAAGATTAATAATGTATGAGGCCCTAGTCTATGCATCGGGACACAAGCATGAGTTGGGATACTCTGGTCAGGCAAGTATACAATGGTGTAGTAAGTGCCGTTCTATCTATAAAAGGAATGAGAATAAATTGCTGTAGGAGCTTAGAGGAGACAGTGATCGATTATGCCCAGGATGGTTTGGGAGACACCACGGAATAGATGGTATTTGAACTCTGTGTTTTGAGGGAAAGAAGTAGGGGACGGGCATTTCAGTCAAAGGAATAGTGTGGTCAAAGACAGAAGAATTAATGTCTGTGATGAATGCAGGAACAGTAAGAGGCCAGGTGAGGAAAGAGGAGAATGGAAGACTCGGGTAGAAAAGGGTGACATCCTGAGGGCTTGTGTGGCTATTGAAGGATTCTGTAGAGGCTATGAGGTCCCTAGAGCATTTGGAATATAGTACAGGAAACCTTTTTTACCCACCATATCTAGGATATTGGATTGCCACCATCTTTCTGGTTATAAAGAAGAATTAAATTCAGTATTGCTTTTTTATTTTATTTGCAATTTGCTGTTGCTAATGCCTGGTCATTTTGCTCCGTGCCAGTCTGTGTCTGTGTGGGGCGCTGGAGGACGAGTGGAGATGACTGCTTCCAAATTCATGGCAATTCAGCAGGCGCTTCAGCCAGACTGGTTCCAGTGCCTCTCAGACGGAGAGGCATCTTGCGCAGAGGTAACCTCCATAAAAAGAGCCAGAAAGTCTGTTGACCGATCGCTTCTGTTCCTGGATAGTTGCCTGCAGCTGCAGGAGAAGTCAGAGGTACGGCCACACTGCTGACTCCTTTCTCTTTGAAACTCTTTCCTCTTTTGTATTCCATGACACCGCGTTTTTCTTTTCCTCCTCCTACTTTGCTCCTCACTTCTTCGTTTCTTTTAGTGTCGTTTATTTCCTGAACCTTAAGGTTTACTGTTCTCTAGGCTCTATCCTGAGGGCAGTAGTAGTTTAGTGGTTGAATAGTTGCCTTCTATGCGCCAGACCCGGGTTCGATTCCGGGCCAGTGCACCTCATGTGCAGCCACTACCAATCTGTCAGTTGAGGCTCATATGTTGCTCTGATGCTGAACAGGTTTCAGCAGAGCTTCCAGACTAAGACAGACTGGGAAGAAAGGCTTAGCAATTTACTTACAGAGATAACTGTGGATCACAGTGATTCAGTCCTGTTGTACGTGGGGTTATCCTGCGTCGGCCACTCAACAGCAGTTAACAACAGCCCACTTTCTAAAAAGAATTTAATGACTTTCCACTTTAATTCTACATGGCATGGGCGGCTCACTGTGACCTGGCCTCTGCCTCCTCCTTCCGCTCACTGGGCTGCGTTCTCCCATGGCCTGTGCTGAGCTACTTGTAGTTGCCTAAGGGACTATCCTGTTCTTCCTGCTGTGCGTGTCTACTGACTTCCATCTGGGCTGTTTTTTCTTATCTCCAGCCATTTTCCTTCTCTCGCTTCACACTCAGCTCCTTTCATTCCACTATGAAGCTGTCCCTGACTCTTTCCCAGGACAGTAATTCTCTTCGTTATTTGCCATCATTTTAATCATACTGTACTGAAATGATTTCTTAATTGTGTGTTTATCATTATTAGACCGTGAGCTCCTTATGCTCGGTTTCTGTGTGTCATTTTGTATCCCGGTCACATAGCACGTGCCTGACACATGGTAAGCCCCCAGTAAATTCTTGCTGCTGATGAATGGTTATGGTGAGGTGTGGGAGATGATACTGGAACAGTAAGTAAAGGATCCTGATGGCAAAGTTAGTGAAGTAGAAAAAGGATGTCTTTATTAGGAGAGAGTGGAAGAGGGGGGGAGAATGGGAGATAGTGATCAGAGAGGAGAATTTCAGAGTCTAAGATCATTTGTTGTGCTTCAGGATAGAGTTTGAAATGCTTTTTGACCATGAATGTGATGTCATTCCTCTTCCATGTCTCATTCCTGGCATAGTAGACCGTATGCCTACAAGGAAGACCAGTTAATACAACTGTTATTCAAATTTGTGCACCAACTCCTAATGCCAAAGATGAAGAAATTAAAGATTTTTACCAACTTCTGCAGCCTGAAATTGATCAAACACGCAATCAAAATGCATTGATAATTACTGGTGATCAGAATACAAAAGTTGAAAATAAAGCAAAAGGATTGGTAGTTGGAAAATAAGGCCTTAGTGATAGAAATGAAGCCAGAGATCGCATGATAGAATTTTGCGAGACCAGTGACTTACTTATTGCAAACACCTTTTCTCAACAGCATAAATGGTTACTGTCTGCAAACAGCACCAACAGTGAGGATGGCGCAGGGCCGGGCAGTGTCTCCTTGTGTTGTGTGTCGGGTTGCTGTGAGTCGGGACCGGCTCAGCGGCATCTGACAGCAACAAGATCATTTGGGTGGAGGAATCCGGAGCAATGTTCAGGTTCCCCTTATGGCAAAGCACTTTGAGTTTGAGGAACACTGTTGTTTTGAGTTTACCAATAAAAATCTAATCCAGCTAATAAAGTTAATATACATAAAACTCAGGGTGGCACAAACGGTTTGTGCTCAGCTACTAACCTAAAGGTTGGTGGTTTGAACCTATCCCATGGTGCCACAGAATAAAGGCCTGGCAATCTGCTTCTATAAAGTTTACAGCCAAGAAAACCCTATAGAGCACTTGTACTCTGTTACAAATGGGGTTACCATGAGTCCTGATTGACTTGAAGGCAACCATTTGTTGTTTGTTTTTTTTTTTAGTGATTCTGAGTAGAACTCACAGTGTGTACAATAGGAGCTCAGAAGGAGATCTCAGTATGGGTCTGAATAGTTAGCATCAGCTTGCTAGCAGTTGTTTCGAGTTAGTAATGTTGGATGAGTAGGAAGGAGGACAGGGAGTGTGCCAGAGCATGGTTGTTAAAAAGGCCAGAATGAGTCCCTCTTTTCCGCCATTACTGTTACCCTCACCATTTCATGTTGTTGATTGGATGCTGGGGTTCCTCTCTGTACCCCTTATGACTAGGGCTTATACTGTTGTCTTGACGTACCTATTAGTAGTGCCCTTTTTACTCTTAAAAGGATTTCATTTTGGACAGTAAGTTGTATAATTACACTCTTCCATCCATCCATGAGAGGGAGTTCCTTAATCGAGCTGTGCCAATCATATAAAGGGGTGGGCTTTTGTGACTGTTTGCTTTGTATACCTGCGTATATCTTTTCCCCTGATTCCTTTCCTGTCTTACTCATTGGTTCATTTTAGTCTGGATGCCCTTAGATATTGAAGCTCTCAAGTTCTGTAATTGGTTTTCCTTTCTTTTCACTCCGTATATTGCCTTGGCTAGTAGTGGCAAATGGGTTTCTTCCCAAGGTGCTTGGAGCCTTGCCTGCAGCAGGGAGTAGAGTATCTGTAGCCGTGTCTGCCACGGCAGTGGCGGCATTTGTGCCAAGCATCTGCCATTCTGCCTGGGCAGTCTTGTCTGTATCACACATGTCCATAACTTTAGGCCCATTTTTTCAGTTGTCCAACAAAATCACCGTTTGTATGTCCCACTGACACCTTAAACTCAGAATGTCCAAAACAGAATCATCACCTTGACACACCCTCGCTGATTTTCTAGGACTCTCTCTCTCCCTTTGCTCTTAACTCCTTGGATTTCTAAAACAGAGCCAAGAGTCATTCTAGACTTGGTCTTCATCCTGGGACAACTAATCAGTCAGGTTGTGTTGATTTTACCTCCTAAAGGTATTTCAGATCCTGTCTTTCCTTTTCATCCACCGGCCACTGTCATAGTCCAGGTTTTCTTGGGTTGTTAATATCATTTCCTACACCATTCGTTAGCCATACTTGTGCTTCACCATTCTCCACACAGCAGCCAGAATGGTGTCTCCAGAGGAGTTATCTGATTGTGCCCCTCGTGTGTGAACTGAGAAGGGACAGTCCCTCTTCACAGCATGCCAGGCTCCCTCTCCATCCCTCCCTCCTACCTTAGAGCCGCTGTTGAGTTGTATATTTCCTTGCAAACCTTTTTTTTTGCAGTTACATACACATAATTCATACATATACGTATATACCTGTGTCTAGTTTTCACTACATACAATATGATCACATGCTCAGCAATTTGCTTGTGTTTAGTTAAATAACATTTTGAAACTCTTTCCCTGTCAATGCATATATTACTCTATCTACCACATGCTTTTCCAAACAGCTGCATAGGAGGCTGTACTATAAATATGCCATAACTTATTTAAGCCATTACTTTGTTGATGGGTGTTTGGGTTGTTTCCTGTTTTCACTCTCCTAAATAAACGTCTTTGTAAACATACTTAGTGCCGCTTGACTGTGTCCTGTGCTATCATATGTGTATGCATATATTTGTAGGAGTGATTCTTAGAAGTGGAGTTCTAGGATCTAAAGAGAAAAGCATTGATATTTTGATAAATGTTGCCTACTAGATCTGGCAAGAGGCTGACCCGATTTTTACTCCCGAGTTGTCAGGGTATTTGAGGGCCCTTGCCCTGACACTTTCACCTCCACTCTGTTGCTCTCTGTCTTTTAACTCTTTGCCACTGTGATGGGCAAAAATGATATCTCATTGTTTCCAATCTGCATTTCCCTACTGGTGAGGTTTAGCAATTCTCCATGTGTGTATAGGGCATTCACATGCGTTGATCTGTGCCTCCAAAGATTAAGTTGTCTTTGCCTTCGTTGCTGGTATATTTCACCAGAGAAGTTTTAATGTTTTTGTGCTCAAGTATGTTAGTCTTTTCCTGTAAGCCTTAGTTTGCTTAGGAAGGCCTTCCTTACCCCAAGATTATAAAAATATTCAATATATTCTTCTAATACTTGTACAACTATTTTATATTTAGATCTCAGGTTCGCCTGGAATTTATTCCCGAGGATGATGGGTAGTAAAGGTCTTTATTTGTTTCTAAGTGGATAGCCATTTGTCCTAGCCAATCAATTTCTAAGTCCCAAAAGTTATCCCTAACTAACAGACCTGGGGGTAGCCAGAAGCAGACCTGGATTGTCATTTAAACAAATTAAAACTGTTCCTTTTGTCCTCTTCCTGTAATACCTGCTCAGTCTGTTTAATTTAATCTAAGCTAGAACATCACTATGAATGTTGATTGCCTATGTTTTTCCTTGCCAATTCCAGTGGCTTTCAGATTGTGTTCTTGAGTCCAGAGCTTCTCAGGGAGGGGGAGAGAGGGAAGCATGCCCCTAGCCTGCTTCAACTGCAGCCCCTCCACTGAGACCTCCTCTCTCCATTGGACTTGCATGTAAGGTTTATTCAGACAAAGGTCTCTGTTACTGTAAATGGTTAACAGCAGTCCATCCTTCTTTACCTCAGGTCCTTCAGAAAAGTTTGATCATTGGAGTGATTGAAGGTGGAGACGTGATGGAAGAGAGGCTCAGGTCAGCACGAGAGACAGCCAAGCGGCCTGTAGGTGGCTTCCTTCTGGATGGCTTTCAGGGGAATCTGATGGCCACAGAGATAGGACTACACTTGCTGTCATCGGTCACTGCGGAGCTCCCGGAGGACAAACCAAGGCTAGTGTTCAGTTAAGATGCAGGCCCAGCCACGCGGGGTGCTGGGCAGGGGTGCTGGCTGACGAGTATGTATTATGCAGTCTGTACCTCGGCATGGTCTTTCATCTTTTGATGAGGAACTTTCTGGGCTGAATCGGCTGGCTGACTGAGGGGAGTTGGCATCGAGACTCTCCTCTTCTTAGTTTCAAAATAGAGCCCAGAGGACAGTTGCCGTGTGAATTATGTCATATGATCCTCATTATAAGTGAGGGTGAGTGTTGGACTCTTTCCCTCATTCTTGGTCAAATGCAAATACTGTGCTTTATTCATTATAGCAGGGTGTCTGGATACAGTCTAAAGTTGTGTGGAACTCTGACTTCATCTAGGGAAGTTGAAGACAGATGTGGGATGCCTGGTGGAACAAAGAGGGGCTCCACCTTTAGAAGTTCTTAGATTTGAGGCAGGTAGCGAGTGGTGCCATGTTTTTTAAACCAAGGGTATTGGCAACACTAGTGGGTTTGAGTCTTAAGTTTCCATAAATTGTAGAATTCCCCATGTACTGGTAAGAAGGTATGATCTATAAAGCTACAAATTTAAAGTTTCTGAATCTGGCTGATGTCTTAATAGGCTACTCAGTTTTTAAATTTTTTAAAAAGGCTAAAGTCTTGTATCACACTTGGTGTGAATACTCATGCTTTTTTCTTGCAGAAGAATTAAATTTTGATTATGGGGTGCAGCTTTAGACTCCTGGGGGTGTTGTGGAGTGCTGGTGGTGCAGTGGTTAAGAGCTTGGCTGCTAACCAAAAGATTGGCAGTGTAAATCCACCAGCTGCTCCTTGGAAACCCTATGCGGCAGTTCTATTCTGTCTTATAGGGTTGCTGTGAGCCGAAATCAACTCACCAACAATGGGTTTGGTTTTCTGTAGCGGTGTTGTATCATATATAGTATATGCAATTTAGGTTTTTTTAAATTGAAGTCTAGTTTACAGTAAAGCGCGTGCATATATCTAATGTACAGCTCAATTGAATTTTTACACAATTGAATTTTTACACATGTATATACTTTTGTAAACACCACCCAGATCAAGGTATCGAACATTTCTGTACTCTAGCCAGCATTTGCCTCTCCAGTTTTAACCTGGCTATCTTGTGTTCATTGCTCCCCATCCTGTGCTTATTTCATTCTGGCAAAGATAACAATTCAGCACCAGGATTTCTAGTCATTTTCTGGACTCCTTTGAGTTAAGTGCTCACAGATGTCTGTTACTGGATTTGAAAGCTAGGGTTGTTTTTTCTTTATATACATATACAGAAATGCCAGCTTCAGTTGGAAAGGAGTTCTAAAACATTGCATTACTCAGAGGAAACTGTAGTCAGGAAAACCGGCATGTATTTAAGGGTCTGGTTGTTTAATATTACATAAGCCTTTTTTTTAAACTTCTTTTAGGAATCAGTCTGTAAGCTGTCCTCTGCCAGTTCATAAAAAGAGGCTACAGATAGAAAAACAAAAATAGAAAATAATAGCAGCCAGCCCTGATTTATTGCATCTCGCATCTTGTTTTAGTGGCAAAACCTGCTTGAGTATTTGCAGTGCTTTCAGGATGCCTTATCGATTGTCTCTGGAAACACCACCTCGTTCTACAGTGCAGACTTTTTATTAATAAGAGGAAATACAAAGACACATAAAGAAGTCCAGCTAGATTCTTAGGTCCTGTGGCCGGAGTGGAAATCTGAGAGTAAGAGTTGCTTTGTAAGTGAACCTGTGTGGAATACAGTAGATAAAAATGTCTTTCTTGAACCAGTTACTAAAAGAAAATTATAGGAAAAATACAGTTAAAACATGGGAAGTACTTGAGGGAAATAAAGCCCACAACTTTATACTCCGAACAATCTATATGGTGCATAGATAGGCTATAAGGTTCAATCTACGACTGGGGAGGTTGCTTAGAAGGGATGGGAGTGGAGAGGGATGTAACCTTTACTGAGCTTTTCTGGGGCCAGAAACTATACCATGTGCTTGTTCAAACATTATCTCATTATTCCTCACAACAGTTTTGTGGGGTATCTATTAGTGATCTTGGTTTTAAAATGAGAAAACTGAGACTCAGAGAGGTCAAAAGGCTTCCCAAAGTAACACAGCAAGTAGGCAAATAGCAGAGCTAGGATTTGAGCCCAGATCTCAGCCTGCAAAGGCCTGCGTTCTGTCTACCACCCCTTGCTGTCCGCTGCCTGCCATTGTAACCGAGTGATATTTTCGTTATTAGCACATGGTGCCCTGTTTGTTGGAGAGACTCTGATTTCATTCTTGCCATTGGCCTCATTCTCTGTTCTTACAGGCTCATCTGTGGTGTTAGCCGGCCGGATGAGGTGCTTGAGTGCGTTGAAAGAGGAGTGGACCTGTTTGAGAGTTTTTTCCCTTATCAAGTGACAGAGCGGGGGTGTGCCCTGACGTTCAGCTTTGATTTCCAGCCGAATCCAGAGGAAACATGTAGGTCTTTGGAAGCTGATCCCTTTGTTACCCATACGTTTCTTCTGCTCCCTATTAATTTTTGGCTTGAGTCACAAGACAGAAATATGTGCCTATTGTAAACCTATCTCTTTGTTTCTTCTCTATACACTTTGGCATGTTGACACACAAAACCAGGAACTTAATACTGTACGTGCAGCTCATAGGTATTAGGGAATGATTTTGTAGTGAGCAGAACCAAGAAAAACGAAACCTCTTTTATTAGCCGGAAAAAGAACATTTAGAGTGAGTAGAAATGAAAATGTAAGAAAAGAAAACCTTTGAATTGCTTGGGAAAAGTTAGTCTGTTCTTCTACAAAAAGAGTTCTTGTCTGCATTTTGCAAACCTCATGATATTAAAATACAGGGAGTCTCACTGCACTCTGATCCTGGTGTTATTTTTTATTTATTTTTGTTTTTTACACACTGAGAGGTGAAAGCTGTTTTCCTCTGCTAATGTTGCTTTGAAGCACTTGCGTTTTATTGTTGAGTCATTCAGAAATCAAGAAAATCAGTTTCCAATTCTAACACATAACCAGCAGTGACCAAGGAACTGGGAGACAGGCGTCTGGGCTGGGGAGAGTGCTGCGTGCCCAGGCTTCCGTCTCCTCCCAGGAAGTGCTTCCCTCCACCTCTTCCTGCTGTTGCTCAAACTCTTCCTCTACCAACACCAATCTGAAAGTGGAATAGGATCTGGAGCTTCTTTACAGGTTCACTTCGTTTTCCACAAGTTAATAAAATTTAGTTCAGAAGATGTTACAGCTTTATAAAGTAACTTAGCCACTAATGTAGATCAGAGTACTTCTGGAAACAAATCAGGTTGACCAAGTCAATCAGTTTGGCTGTCCTTTAGGCAGACTGGAACGTAGTATATGTGAATGAGTATGCCATAAACACTTTATAACTTTTCATGACTTCATTTATGAAACTGAATTATTTCTGTCAGGACAGAGGTAACTGTTAGTTATTCAATACCAGGAATACACAGAGCTCTATAGAGAACTGATACTGATGTCTGTAGAACAGAGGAGTCCCTTTATGGCCAGAGAAAGCCTACTTTTTACATGATTCAGAAAACTCATAGTTTGAACATTTTTATAAAAGTATTATTTTTAATCATATTTGTACATCTGTAAGTGCATGTAGATATTAATTAAAGTCCTTTGCCAAATAGAAAGTGAAAATTCCAAAGGAATAAGTTACCTAATATAGGCAGCAATTCCCCCGAGTGACAGAAGTTTTCCATAATCTCAGGGCCAAGCTTGTTAACATTAAGAGCCTGGTTATGGTTTCCCGTGTTGGCATTGCCAGTTCATGGGAGCAAAATAGTAACAGTGCTGCACACAATGCTCAGGTCACTTCTCTTCTCCCTTTGACCTTGACAAAATCTACATTCCTAGGACCATCTGCCCATTCTCTTTGGGCCAGCACTGAGATTGTTACCACTCGTTCCCAGAAATGCCTCTTACCTACTTGCCCCTTTCAAGGCAGCGGGCTCTTTGTATAGTAGCAGGTGTTTCTTTTGCAATTCTAGGAAAGTTTTTAAAGCAAAGAGTTCAAGGGAACAAAAGTCCTTTTATAATTCTGGATAATCTGGGTTCCCTGGAAGGTCAAAGTCTATATACAGGAATATATAAATTAAAGTGATATTTTATTTTGTCTGTATCCCAAATAGATTAGTTACAAAGCCAGATGTATTTGCATATGCATTATGTTGAGACATGGGAATAACCCCAACACACACACACGTTTATTCCCTCTCTCTCCCTAACACACAAACACACACACCAACTTTTTAAAATTATTCCTTTACAATTAGATTATATGTCATATGCTTGTAACCATAATTTGCTTAGGCATGGTTGGATCTCTAAATTACTGTGATATTATAGATAACAGGTCAGTGACCATCTTGGTGCATATTGCTATTTTTCTTTTCTCTTGTGATTTCTTTAGGTAAATTCTTAGGAATAGAATTATGGGGTCAAAGGGCATGAAATAATAACTAAAATAAAATTCTCCCAATGGCTACTCCTTATCTGATCTTCATTCAAGACTTTTTATTGGTTTGTCCTTTAGTATGGCAACAAAATGGGACACAAGAAGAAATAAAATATCTGGATCAAACAGAGAAAATTAAAACAACTGATTGCACCCAAGAAATGACATCATTTGAAATTAATCTGAAGGAAAAAAAGTAAGGAATTTTTTTTAACTTTGGATTTTGATTTCTGACTATCTTATTTCTGTCTTTTTTTAAAAGTTTATGTAACTGTTCCTTTTTCCGTTTATGACTTTGTAAAATATTTATAGTTGAGTATTATTTGAGCCTTCTCAAATTCAGTTGCAGAAAAACTTTTTTTCTGCAAATGAATTTGTATATTTTGTCTTACTAGAAAACTAAGGGTAGATAACTATTGCTTTAGGAAAGCAGTCAGAAAGAGTATACCAAATCCATTGTGTTTGGTGTCTTTTACTCCATCCTAATACTTTAAATGTCTTAGTCTGGAAGCTCCTCTGAAACCTGTCCACCATGGGTGACCCTGCTGGTATTTGAAATAATGGTGATGTAGCTTCCAGCATCACAGCAACACGCAAGCCACCACAGTACGACAAACTGACAGACTGGAAAGAAGGACCTGGCAATCTCCTGAAAAAATTGGCCAGTGCAAACCTTATGAATAGTGACACAACATTGTCTGATATAGTGCCGGAATGTGAGCCCCTCAGGTTAGAAGGCACTCAAAAGATGACTGGAGAAGACCTGCCTCCTCAAAGTAGAGTTGACATTAATGACTTGAATGGAGTAAAGCTCTCGGGACCTTCATTTGCTGATGTGACACAACTAAAAATGAGAAGATACGGCTCCAAACATCCATTAATAATCAGAGCATGGAATGTATGAAGTATGAATCAAGGAAAATTGGAAGTTGTCAAAAATGAAACAATGCTTGAAGATCGCTATCGTAGGTGTCAGTGAGCTGAAATGGGCTGGTATTGGCCATTTTGAATTGGACAATCATATGGTCTACTCTGTTGGGAATGACAAATTGAAGACGAACAACGTCACATTCATGCTCAAAAAGAACACTTCAAGATCTATCCTGAAATACAAAGCTGTCAGTGATAGGATAATATCCATATGCATACAAGTATGACCAGTTAATACAGCTACTATTCAGATTTACACACCAACCACTATGCCAAAAATGAAGAAATTGAAAATTTTTACCAAATTCTGCAGTTTGAAATTGATCAAACATGCAATCAAAATGCATTAATAATTGGTGATTGGAATGTGAAAGTTGGAAACAAACAAGAAGGATCAGTGGTTGGAAAATATGGCATGGGTAATAGAAATGACACAGCAGATGACATGATAGAGTTTTGTAAGATCAACAACTTAATTCATTGGAAATATCTTTTTTCAACGCAAACAGCGACTGGACATGTGGACCTTGCCAGATGGAATACACAGAAATCAAATCGACTGTATATGTGGAAAAGACAACGGAGAAGCTCAAGATCACCAGTCAGACCAAGGCCTGGTGCCAACTGCAGAACAGACCATCAGCTGTTCATATGCAAGTTCAAGTTGAAGCTGAAGAAAATTAAAACAAATCCATGAGAGCCAAAGTACAACCTGGAGTATATCCCACTTGAATTTTAGAGACCATCTGAAGAATAGATTTGACATATTGAACTAATGACTAAGGACCAGATGTGTTGTGGGATGACATCAAGGACATTATACATGAATAAAGCAAAAGGTCATTAAAAAGACAGAATAGAAGAAAAGATCAAAATAGATGTCAGAAGAAACTCTGAAACTTGCTCTTGAATGTAGAGTAGCTAAAGCGAATGGAAGAAATGATGAAGTAAAAGAGCTGAACAGAAGATTTCAAAGGGCAGCTGAAGAAGTAAAGTATTATAATGAAATGAGGAAAGATCTGGAGTTTGAAAACCAGAAGGGAAGGACACGCTCAACATTTCTCAAGCTGAAAGAACTGAAGAAAAAGTTCAAGCCTCGAGTTACAATATTGAAGGATTCTATGGGGAAAATATTGAATGACGCAGGAAGCATCAAAAGAAGATGGAAGGAATACACGGTCACTGTACCAAAAAGAACTAGTCAATGTTCAGCCATTTCAGGAGGTGGCATATGATCAAGAACCAATGGTACTGAAGGAAGAAGTCGAAGCTGCACTGAAGGCATTGGCGAAAAACAGTACTCCAGGAATTGATGGAATACCAATAGAGATGTTTCAACAAATGAATGCAACACTGGAAGCACTCACTTGTCTATGCCAAGAAATTTGGAAGACAGCTACCTGGCCAACTGACTGGAAGAGACCCATATATGTGCCTATTCCGAGGAAAGGTGATGCAATGGAATGCGGAAATTATCGAACAATATCATTCTATCATGTGCAAGTAAAATTATGCTGAAGATAATTCAAAAATGGTTGCAGCAGTACATTGACAGGGAACTGCAAGAAATTCAAGCTGGATTCAGAAGAGGATGTGGAACAAGGGATATCATTGCTGATGTCAGATGGATCTTGGCTGAAAGCAGAGAATACCGGAAGGATGTTTACCTGTGTTTTATTGACTATGCAAAGGCATTCACTATGTGGATCATAGCAAATTATGGATAACATTGTGAAAAATGGGAATTCCAGAACACTTAAGCATGCTCATGTGGAACCTTTACGTAGATGAAGAGGCAGTTGTTTAAACAGAGTAAGGGATACAGCGTGGTTTAAATTCAGGAAAGGTGAGCGTCAGGGTTGTATTCTTTCACCATACTTATTTATCTCTGTGTTGAGCAAATGATCTGAGAAACTGGGCCGTATAAAGAAGAACGTGGCATCAGGATTGGAGGAAAACTCCTTAACAACCTGCAACATGCAGATGACACAACCTTGCTTGCTAAAAGTGAAGAGAACTTGAAGCACTTAGTGATGAAGATCGAAGACTATAGCCTTCAGTAAGGATTCCACCTCAACATAAAGAAAACAAAAACCCTCACAGCTGGACCAATAAGCAACATCATGATAAATGGAGGAAATATTGAAGTTGTCAAGGATTTCATTTTACTTGGATCTACAATTGACACCCATGGAAGCAGCAGTCAAGAAATCAGATGACATATTGCACTGGGCAAATTTGTTGCAAAAGACTTCTTTAAAGTGTTAAAAAGCAAAGATGTCACTTGGAGGGCTAAAGTGCACCTCACCCCAACCATCGGGTATTTTCAGTCACCTCATATACATGCAAAAGCTGGACAATGAATAAGGAAGACTGAAGAAGCATTGATACATTTGAATTATGATGTTGGCAAAGAATATTGACTGCCAGAAGAATGAACAAATCTGTCTTTGAAGAAGTACAACCAGAATGTTCCTTGGAAGTGTGGGTGGCGAGGCTTTGTCTCACATACTTTGGACATGTTATCAGGAGGGATCAGTCCCTGGAGAAGGACATCCTGCTTGGTAAAGTAGAGGGTCAGTGAAAAAGAGGAAGACCCTCAATGGAATAGACTGACACAGTGGCAGCAACAATGGGCTCAAACATAGCAACGCTTGTGAGGATGGCGCAGGACCGGGCAGTGTTATGTTCTGTTGTTCGCAGGGTCGCTATGAGTTGCAGCCAACTCAACTGCACCTAACAACAGCAACAACAACCACATTTATCTTCTTAAAAAATAGCTGAGGAGATTCATTTCTGTTTTTAGAATGTTAGGGCAATATAAAATTGTTAATACTAAATTTCCCTTTACATTATAGTTTTAATTGAAATTGTAGTTTTTTGTTGTCAGCACTACATTTGAAGTTTTGGAGACTTGGAATTGAAATCCTAACAGTGCTTTTGATTGTTTGGCCTTGGTCAAGTCACTTAAGCTGTCTTTAATAGCTGATAACAGTAACACATATATGTGCTTAGTGTATGCAGCATGGAGCCCTGGTGGTGCAGTGATTAAACGTTTGGCTGCGAACCAAAAGGTCAGCAGTTTGAATCCACCAGCCGTTCCTTGGAAACCCTACGGGGCACTTCTACTCTGTGCTACAGGGTCTCTATGAGTCGGAATTGACTGGACAGCAGTGGGCTTGGGACGTGGGCATGTGCCACAGTGAGCAAGCCTTTACTGCATTACCTCATTCACTCCTCGCAAGAACCCTGTGAGGTAGAAACTGTTATTACCCTTGATTCACAGATGAGAAAGTGCACGCTAGGAAGAGGGTTAAGTGACTTGCCCTGGTGAGATGAAGAGTCAGAAATTGAAGGCGGCATTGTAGCTACAGAGCCTTCACTCTTCACCCCTGTGGTAGCTTTTGTTTCTTCATCTGTAAAATGACAACAAAAACACCTATCCCCAAGGGTTTTTATGGAGATTAAACGAAACAGTATGTGAAAGTGCTTTGTAAGGTGCACACAGCTGTGCAGCTATCGAAGGTAATACCACATCTCCTGGTGCTAGTTGCGGTGAGGAGTGGGAGAGCAGTGCCATTCGCCCAGGACGACACTCCCTGATATGATGTGCCTTTGCAGTGTGACTAACAGCGCTCAGTACTGGTGAACGATTGGGTGGCTCCCTTGATGCTCTTGTGTACCTCTTAGGCTTGGAGGTTACATCCATCAAAGGAAAGCTCCTGAGTCTCCATGGCTTATTGTGCACTTTGGTAGCTTTTTATTATTATCGTTGTGGTAAAACATGTGTTACATAAAATTTGCCATTTTAACCATGTTGAAGCATATAATTTAGTATTAATTACATTCACAGTGTTGTACAGCCATCACCACTATTTACTTGTAAAATGTTTTTATCACCCCAGACAGAAAGCCTGTACTCTTTAAGCAATACTTTTTACCCATTAAGCATTGCCCTCCTCCCAGCCCCTGGTAATGTCTCATCTACTTTTCTGTCTCGATGCATTTGCCTATTCCAGATATTTCATGGAAGTGGAATCAGACAATATTTGTCCTTTTGGGTCTGGTGTAATGTTTTCAAGATTCGTCTATGTCATGGCTCTTTGTTAACTTTGGACCACATTGCCACTTAGTCAGGTGCCCGGCACTGAGCGTTTGCCAGCAGTGTTGTTAAACGCTGGTTATTGCAGCAGCAGAATAGACAGTCTAGGCTGTGGATTCCTCTTACTCCTCACTTTATGGAGTATCGTGGTGACTTCCTTTCTCAGGTACCAGGAGGACTTTGACCCGTTGGTGAGAGGGTGTCCCTGTTACTGCTGTAAGAATCACACTCGTGCGTATGTCCACCATCTGCTGGTGACCAATGAGCTGCTGGCCGGCGTCCTGCTTATGATGCACAACTTTGAACATTACTTTGGATTTTTCCACTCTATCCGGGAAGCACTAAAAAGTGACAAACTGGCCCACTTGAAAGAGCTCATCCTCAGGCAAGCATTTTGAGACCTAGCAAACACATCTGACTTAACCTGAAGCCAGAACCAGTGTTACGCATGGGAAGAAGAGAGAAAGAAAAAAGATGTGCCCAGTCAGGAGTAGCCTACCAAACTCCTTCCCCACAAGGCTCAAGAGATTTCTTCTACAGGCTTAAATGACCTGGATTGATCAGAAGATTTGAAGCATGACCTTTAACATTTCTCTTTTAGTCAATAGAAGATTCGTTTAGTCATGAAAGACAAAATCACTAGACACGAGCGGACGGCCTTGAAGTGGAGATGCTGAGATTCTGGGGGTCCACTGAGTTGGGTTGGAGATTGCAGGTGGATGACTGGTCGTGAGTAGCATGACCCCTGCGGACACATGCCTGTTGACAAGAAGGAATCTGGCTGAGTCTTGAGTTTTCTTTTGATCCTTAAATTCTCAGAGGGCTCTTTTGGACACTTCTGTCTTCCAAGCAGCCAGCCGTGGCAGGACAATCAATGAAACGTCTCTTGTGACTTCACCAGCATTGCATCTCTCTGGAATGTGGGCTCATACATTGCTCCTCTGATCAGTTGGCCCAGGTCACATGCCTTCATTTGGCCACATGGTTAATTGTGACTTGTCTCCCTAGAGCTGATGTAATTGCCTATTAGGAGTTGAACATTTGCTGGGCTGCTTTCCTCTGGTCATACAGACCCACCATGGCCTGTCCTCCAGCCTCATCAATGGTCTAACCCCGGAGTGACTGGCCCCATCTCTTGTGGAGATTCATTCGCAGTGTGTTCACTTGGACTGAGCCCTGGCCTGGCAATTACAGCATCAGCCTTCAGTCCTACTCAGCCGTGACACCTGGGCAGGTCACTTAGCCTCCCCTTGCCTATTTCCTCCTGGATAAATGGGGACAGAGATAGTGGATAGGACTACCGGTAAATGAACTTCTAAGATTCCGTCTAGCTCTACAATTTGGGAAACAGAAACTGTTTTAGATTAGAATCATAGCCTTACTTGTCCTGTGTGTTTATTGATGGCCGTTGGCCTGGTGGAGAATGCAGCAGGGCCAGGAATCAGGCAGCAGTAGATATTGAGAGCCTAAAAGGAGATTGGCCTGTACATGCTGAAGTGTGTAGTAAATTGGCCTCAGCAGATCCTGAGGCTGGGAAGGCCTCCCATATTATCTCCAAATGTGCAAGTTTTTTTCTGCTCTTGCTATAGGAGTGACATTTGTGTTGTTGGCATGTCAGGTGATTTTTATTTTCTTTGTGCTTTTCTATATTTTTCATGTTTTCTGTAAAGAATACACATACATGCACACACAGTTTTTGTAAAAATATCACAAAAGCGAAAAGATGCTCTTTTTATGGGGGGAGAAATGCATTTGTTTTACATTCTTGTACTATGTTTTGCTGTTCCTTATTTCAGTGGGCATTACTGAACATTGCTTTAAATTATTATGTACTTACTATGTTTTTATGTGTTGGGAGCCCATCTATATGGTTCTCTTTTATTAGTGGTAGTCATAAGTTTTGAATTCATGGAAATTCCTATAACCCCTCCTCCATGAATGGCAAGGGGTACTTACAGAAGACAAAGTTTCTGTTCTCAAGGATCGGATTATTTTGAAATGTAACTGGATTGGATATGTTCAAATGTTCATATTACTGTTCAATGCCAAATCCATTGAGTTGGAGGAGTATCAATAAATATTCCAGAATCCATACAAAATTTATAACTTTTATTTATGTCCAAAACACTGAAATTTCTGCCCAACATTGTTTGATTTTCTGGGTCTTTTTATTGTTAACACATTTGAAAAAAGTTTCTTTCCTTTAATGTAATAAATCTATTAAAGGCAACAGCCAATAAACATTTTTAATTTAAAAAGTTCATTGTGTATTGCTTTCCATAAATGGTAGTGAGTCTATTAAACAAAATATTAAATTTCCATGGCGCCAGAAATCTTCTAGAGATTTCTCATTGGAAAATAACATTTTTCTACATTGATTCCATCTGTGGACATTGTTTAAGAGCACTTATGCTAAATGCAGAATCCAAAAAAGAGACGTTATTTAGTTACACATGTTATGAAGATTCCCTTGCCTGTCCCTTTAAAGTATGTAATTGAAGGCCTTAAGGCCTTGTAGCAGATAATAAAAATAATGATAACCACAATCAATGGAGTGTTGCTAATGTGGCAGGCTCCTCAGTAGATTCTTTCCATACGTGGCTCACTGTCCCTTGGAACCTTACGGTGAGGTCCAGGTATTAATGGCCCTGTGTGACAGAACTGAGCTTCTGAAGGCTGAGTAGACAGTTCCCAGATTCCACTTCAGTGCTGTCTAATCAAAGCTCAGCTGTTGACCATTGCCCTAAGTAGCTTCTCGCAGACTTGTGTCTCAGGACGCCTGGGTTGAAGGGGCTAAGAGAAGCAAGATCTGAGTAGAAGAGCCTCTGACTCTGAGGTGTAGCGTGTTGCAGGAGCCCTGCTGCAGCTCGGCCCTGGCTCCCACTCCCAATAGGGAATACCTGGCATGTACAGCCCATGGTGCCATGGTGGCACACATAGGTACTCAACATGGGTTGACATCCCATGTCCCCAGCCCCCCTAGTCTGGGACTGTAACCACACCCTAGATGGTTTTGAATGGGTTTGGAGACTGTGATCAACTCAAGTGGACTCTTGGGTAATGAATAGGAGTCTGAGGTTTACTGTATGGCTCAGGGGAGGGATATTTTGTCATTCCCTGAGAATAAAATAAAGGAACACATAATAAAGGGGAAAAGATTCTTCTAGTTAAAGCATTTTAATAAAATTTCAAACAAAGACGATTAAAGGGTCCAGGCTAGATCATGGGAGCGACTCTTATCCAGGATATTTTTTTCTGCACAGGCAGCTTGGAGCTCACCGAGAAAGCACAGAGTTAAATATTATCCTGTGCCTTCCTGATTAGGAACAGGCTGCTCTCTGCAGTTTGATTAGTTTCGCTTGTAGCTGCGGGCTTACAGCTTATTAAAACTGACAGTGCTGTGTAGGGCAGGGAGCCAGGAGGGTCAAACTTACATGCCGAGCCAGCCACCAGCAAGGCTCTGCCTTCACCTAAAGGTTTACCGTAATTGGCATTCATTTTAATAATCTTTCTTCAGTTCTTGACTTTATTTTCAGCCTTGGTGTCTGTTCCTCATTTTACACCTTTTCTCTCCCTTCTTTCTCATGAGATTCCCTGGTTTATGACCATATAACCCAAATAGCAGTGGGCAAAGAAGAATGAAGGAAGCCCAGTGTAAGCATTGTGAATTAGGTAACCATCCTGATTGCCCACGACAGTCCTGGTTTATGACTGTGGCCCAGGCGTAACTACTAACAGCACCCCCTTTTTTAATCTCAGAAGTGCCATAGTTTGGACAAGTTATATGGCCACCCTATTGTGAGTGGGGGAGACTCAAACTAGAGTGTAGGTGCCGTCTCCAGAAGGGACAGCCGCTACCCACCTCGAGCTCATTGCTGTCGGGCCAGTGTTGCCAGATCTTCCAGTCTTTCAAGAGAAGCCAAAAATCTGGATTTTCAGATGAAACCACAAAATTTTTAAATGCTACATCAACTTTTAGAAAACACTAGCCAAATAACCTAGAGGGCCTGGTTTGCAACCTCTGCCTTCGAGTCTGGAGGGAAGGCTTTGGCATCTTTAGCGTCTCTGAATTTCTTCAAGACTGATCAACGTATACAGAAGAAGGACCTATAGTTTCTAGTGCGTACAGCTGTTAACAGATTTCCACACTAATAGAGTGCCATGCTATGCTAACCCCATCACATGATCCAGGTGACTCCCAAAACCCAATCTGCCAGAAGGAAAGATACGCATCATCTTGTTCAACCATCTAGTTTATGGATGAAAAAAATGAGGCCTGGGAAAGAGAGTTGCAGTCACTTGTGTCTTTCCTCACAAGGGGTTTGAATACACACATACTTCTTTCCAGGAACCCCTCTGGCTCTCCTGCAGCTTGCCCCTGTTTTACGCAGGGGCCTGTGCCCTTCCAGCTCAGCAGTGGTTTCCCAGTCCTCACTTTCCAACGATCCTTTCAGACTTCACGACTCCAGTTAGCAAGAGGACACAAGGGCTCGTGTTGCGCCTTGCAGCGTTAATAGCATATCCCTGGCCAGTGAGGTGAGAGCTCAATTACTGTTTGTCAGGTGAACGAGTGCATACCTCAGAGTGGTTGAGGCGAGGCATTGTCTTCAGATTTTAGTCAGCTGAATGCTGGTTAGAAGCGATTGCCCAGCAGTATGTGGTAGGACCTACTGAATGTCTTGTCAGTGGTGCTTTAATCTTACTTTATGCTAGGCAAACTCCCAGTGACTTGACACTTTTTTTTTTTTTTAATTTGATTCCGTTTTCTACCATTACCATCTTCTAGTGCGGGTCTCAAAGCACTTTTCCCTGTTCTGACAAGAGGAACTCAGAGTGAGCTTTCCTTTTATTCTCGTTCCTCATGATCCACTTTGAGTCCAGGCTAAGTTGCCAAGGAGTTCAAACAGCCAGTGTTTCTGCCAGTGTGGCTCAGAGAGATTAGCGCATCCTCTCTGCACCCTCCCGAATGGTCGCCTCTTTCCCTGAACAGCTCTCCCTCACCGTCTGCTCCTTTGTCTGTGAAACACATTTTCTCTTATTATCACCTTGTTCCCTGCCTGCTTTGGATGGCTTCAGCTTGCCTCTTAACAGAATCAAGATGGTGCTATTAATGGCCTTCTCTTTCTTAACAGCTTAGAGTCACTTCATTTAGTCCTTTTTCCTTTCCCTCCCAAACCACATAATCATCCCTGCTTCAAATGAAAGTTTCATAATGATTTCATAACCACTGCTTTATAGTTGCTATCCAAAAAGGACAAAAGGGAGTGGATGAAAGGAAGGGAGAGATACCGAAAGGTGAGGGGGTGAGGGATACTCCAATAATTGAGACACAACAAACATCCTCAAGACTGATGAAAAAAATTAGGCAAGATTAACCCTAGAGACTAAACACTGCAAGCCCAGTGGCCTGGCGAACTTTTCCTCTAATTATTACGGATAAGTGGGAAGATGGTCTCCCCTCTGAGGATCTGTTTTCCTTCCAGATAGTTAAAATAGTTTCTTGGAACCCTCCCAGCACCAACTGTGTTGGTCATAATCCTTTCATAGAATCCAGTTATATAATAGATATGAGTTTTTCACATCACCCTCCCCAAAAAAGAGCAAAAATATTTGCCCACATGTTACAGTATTCTCCATCATTCCCCCAGTCATTTTCAGGTACTCCCCGACTTACAATGTATTCAAGTTATGATGAACCTCACTTACGACCTACTGTCTTTGTTTTTGTACGTGTTAGCCTTAGTAATATGTACAGTGTTGCAGTGTGTATGTAATTTACTGATGTTATCATTCCAGATATTCACTCACAGATGTTCAAAGAGCGGATTTTTGAAGATACTGATAATAAAAGGGAGGCACCATGGTGATACAGTGGTTAAAGCACTTGGCTGCTAACCAGAGGGTTGGCAGTTTGAATCCACCAGCCACTGCTCGGGAGGAGGATGTGGCAGTTGCTTCCATAAAGATTTATAGCCTTGGAATCGACTTGACAGCAGTGGGTATTGGTTTGGTTTTGATAATAAAAGGCAATCATAATGAAAACAAACAAACAAAAAAAGAGGTATTCGACTTAAATCAGAACTGACTTAGCACGGAGTCCTCGGAACAGAACCCTGTCGTTAAGGCGGGGACTACCTGTATTTATTTTTATTTAACAAACACATAACATTTCAATCACACGTCCACTTATTGTTCCCATTAATGTCAGTTGAAAAAATACAAACTAAGCAAATATACTCACCTCTCCGTAATTATACTTCAAAAGAGAAAAGAGAATGACATAGTATATTAAAAAAAATTTTTTTTATCCATTGCTTCATTTTGGTTAGACTTTCCAATTTCATATTGTTTGTTGCAAAAGGTCCCTTCCAGTCATGCTGGACAAGTCAGTTGAACTTTACTTTTCCACTTGAACATGCAGCTGTTATCACAAATCCAACATATCAAACACTAAATTTATTCTCTATCTTCCTTCAGTAAAACTAGTTCTCCAAGTCAACTTCCTTGCCTCTGCCAGTGGCACCTGTCTTCCAGTAAATTCAGCTGGGAAACTTGCTCTTTGGACTTACTCTGTGGATGAATGATATAATTCATAGAGGGATAGGTACACAATAGTTCAAGGGAGACATCACCAAGACTTGGTTAGCAGCTCAGAGCATGCAATAAGGCATGATTCAAGGAAGGTTACCACCCCTTCCTGCCCTCATCACCTGCTTATTCTCCCCAGTTCCAGCAGGGCTCTTGCTCACAGGCTGCGAAGACCGACGAATCCCAAGGTCGGCAGGCAAGATAGCAGGTGGATAGTCTGTGGAATTCAGTCTAGCCAATCAGCACATTAGAGCCAACATCTTGGTCAGGGACTTCCCCCAAGTCTTGGCACAGGGGAGGGGTGCTCAGTCATAACATCCTCCCCATCCTAATACTCTCCATACCCAGGATTCATTCATCCATCCAGTCTAGAAAAATGTATCCACTTCCAACTAAGTGTCAGGCACTCTCTAGACATGTGTGGCTCAGTGACAGCACACCCCACAGAGAGCACCCACCCTCTGTGAACTTACAGACCAGGAACAGATTCCAAATTTATATATACTTTACATAGAGTTAGAAAGCTTCCCTTTCCTCAGAAATTATACTGAACTATGTACCAATCACAGGGACTATTCAGCTCTTTAAGAGGTGAGGAAATGTGGTAAGTCAAAGGGTGATGATACCTCTAGATAAAGAAAAATGTTTGTTAGTTCTTTTTGCTATTCATTATCGAACCAATAGGAATGCAGGCCAAATTGGTGAGCTGAGTTTGCCCCTCAGCTGGCTGCCTGATCAGTTCACAATGATTCTGTGTGGGTGGCCTTCATTTAAAGGATCTCAACAAATCTATAATCCTAAAAAAAAAAAAAAAAAGGCAGGATTATTCCCATGTTATATTTGAGGAAACAGAGCTGGAACCGTCAAGTAACTGTTTAAAATCACTTTGATCTCAGGAATATCTGGTTCCTGATCCTGGGCTATTTGCACCTTCTTGTTCACTGGAACTTGGAGACAAGGGTCAGGCACTGAGGGTTATACGGGCAAGATAGCCTTGCTGACTCTTGATGATTGTGTTCCTTCAGAGATGGGTCACTGATTTTGTTAAAAAAAATTTTGAAAGAAGTAATTTCATCTTGATGTCTAGGAAGACACTCATGGGGGTAGAGAACTTTTCTAACACTGCTTGTACTCAAAACATTTTCCAGACAACACTTTGG